GCTCTTGTCACGAATACAGCACACTGCTGTTGGAAACAATACTTCCTTCTGTTTTCTAAAGGTTAGCTGTTCAGCTTTGTAAAGCTGTCTCTTGTAAAGTATTGTAATTTGTCACACCTTTGTGTAATTTTCTACACATGCATGTTATATTCATACAGCGTTTACATGTCTCAGTTTACTTGTCTACACAAGTAAATCTAGTAACCTATATTGCTACCATATGATGTATATCAAATCCACACAGATTGCATGATCAGACTTGCTTCATATAAAGAACACACTAGCTTCACAGATAGTTAAAGGACCACTATAGGCACCCAGACCACTTCAGCTTAATTAAGTGGTCTGGGTGCCAGGTCCAGCTAGGGTTAACCCTTTTAAAAAAATAAATAAATAAATAGCAGTTTCAGAGAAACTGCTATGTTTATGTTAGGGTTAATCCAGCCTCTAGTGGCTGTCTCTCTTGACAGCGCTAGAGGCGCTTGCGTGCTTCTCACTGTGAAAATCACAGTGAGAAGACACAAGCGTCCATAGGAAAGCATTATGAATGCTTTCCTACGAGACTGGCTGAATGCGCGCGCAGCTCCTGCTGCACATCCGCATTCAGCCGAAGAGGCGGAGGAGGAGAGCTCCCCGCCCGGCGCTGGAGAATGAGGTAAGTTTAACCCCTTCCTCTCCCCAGAGCCTGAGGGTGGGGGCACCCTCAGGGCACTCGTTTTCCTGGCACTATAGTGGTCCTTTAAGTCTAAAAATAAAATAAAAAAAAACCCTTAAAATTGATGTGCAAAAAATGCTTTAAAATAGTGCTGCAACTGATATATTTCTGAAAATGTACACGTTAACTTTTATAGATCAAGGATACCTGCGGCTTATAGCAGACGGGACCTTCATTAATTTTTTTTTTTTTTTTTTTTTTAAAGATCTGTGACTTTAATTGTAGTTGCGAATCCATTGGGAAACTTATGGTTGGCTGCCTATATAATGTCCACTTGAAAAACATTTGCAGTGAAGGTAAGCATAAAGCTCCTTTCATCCAACCCCAAATTAATAACTTGGCCAGGAGGACCTTTGTATGATTGACAGAGGCTAGAGTTTTTCAAACTTTAAAAACGTTAAAGCTTTTAATTAAAGCTAAAAACCTTGGACTGTATTGAAATTTCTGACCTTTTTCATCATCAGTGGTTTGCAACAGCTGATGAGAACAAGCCTTCTATCAACAGATGTCTATTGTACCTTACTGCTTGTGTGAATGATTTATCTACAAAAATTCTTGCGGGTTCCCCACAAATGGGTAAATGTTTAAAAAAAAAAAAAAAAGTCCCCAAAAATGACAGTGATGCTATAATTTGCTCAATGTTGTCCAAGCGCTATCATTAGAACTGAATGTGGGTCACAGCACTTTTTTAAAAGGTACCGGCTAATTGCTAACTTTAGCTCCTATTTAGTGCAGGGAGTACTATAGTATGCTCTAATCAATTTGCCTTGGAAGAAAAAATAAATCTACGTATGTGTGGTAACGCACAGGTGTACGAACACCGCCAATTTATTACCCCCATAATAAGTGGGTATATAAGTAAGACCAGTAAACCAGAGACCATTATCACTTTTTACTCGGCTGAGGAAGCCACGACTCGGTGAAAAGCGTTCTTTAAAGGACTTAACGGCCACTGTTCCTTTTTTTTATTTTTTATTATTACTTTGTGTTTTAATACTCTTAATTGAATATATTTTTGTAAACTTTGATTTTGGTTTCCGGTACTCCTGTGATACTCGTAGGTAGTGTAATCACAAACTACAAAGAGCACTGTAATAGAACCATATTGGGGTGCTATATTTGTGAGTATTTATTTGGCTTATGATTAAATAGTAACCTAAATGGTGCTGTGCTACTCTATTTTTTTCAACTTTGTTAGGAATGGATGCATATATCTATTAAAGGTGGGTCGCCTAAACAGACCCGAAGGCTATTCAAACCAGAGCTAGGTGCATTAGCTCTCCGCTTGTGAGTGTTTAATTTTTCTATGCATATCTCCTTATTTTGATGAAGGTCTGCACTATGATTTGTTATTTATACTTCTAGGTTACTTGGATTGTCTGTATGTATTCAAGGTTTTATTTTGATAATTTTAATAAGCGCTACACTACCATTTTCTAATATTTTTAATATATATTCGTTGTGTTCAGACTAAATTTTGTTTTTGCGAGTGTTTCATGAAAAACTATGTTGATGAAGCACAATGGTGTGGACATGTGCATATGCAAGTATTAAATAATGGTTTGACACATCACTTCACGCTAAAATGTTCACTTTTTATTAGGATAATGGGAATTTAGGAAAAGTCTGACAATGAAAGGGAGGCATTGCAGGAAAAAATTAAAATGCAAAGACTACGAGGGGAAGGAAATGGCATGGATGAACAGGTGGGAATATGAGAATTGAATATATAATTTGTGCAGTGGCAGGAGGGGATACAATGTTGGAGGGGATAAGATAAGTTTGATGGAAGCAGTGAAGCATGTGATGCTGCAGTTAAGAGAGCAAGATTTAATGATGGGGAAAAAACTGGTGAAGTAATTCAAGCTGGATGCTATTGTGTCCCTTTTCCGAACTCCCCCCACCGCCAACAAAAACAAGCAAGAAAAACGCTTTGCGGTTTATTTTTCATAGTCTTATACAAGGACTATGCACCTCATTGAAGTGGTCTGGAACCTTGCAATGTAATTCTGAGAAACTGCCCAAACAAACACACAACTTGTTAAATATACCTTTATTGAGCGAAGATAGTTAAACAAGTCATATACAAATGGCATGGTTGCAATATCTTGATCTTGACTTCCTAGTTTCTTACACTGGAGATAGCAGCAGCAAAATGGTTCATATGAATGTTGTTGTACAGTTCTCCACTACAAGCTCAAATTTTAAAAGGATAACTGACAAATACACAGAGGAGGGAATCAAGTGTTTTGAATGTACTTGAGAATGGGAGTTGTTTGGGCAGAAGAGCATAGTAGGTGGGAAAATCCTCAGAAAGGTTGTAAGGGATGAGGCATTATGGGGGAAAGCTGACAGGATTATTTTTGAAGGAATACAGAGACGAGCCGAAACTAGCTGCCAGAGGTAGCTGTTCCTCTCAAAGTTTAATATTTAACAATTGGATATCTATATGTTGGTCTCATGTAGGGCTTCTGGGTATGCAAGTATTATGTTAAAGATTGTAGCTGGGTTAGAGGTAGGGGTCTGTTATTCCCACTTGTGCAGGGAGTGGAAAGGTAAGTACAAACGTAAGCCGCCCTGCTCCTCAGCACTGGCATCCTCTTCCTCATTCATATGTTATGCTCCTGGTTGTTTCACCTGCCAGGAATATATGGTTCTATTTGAAATTCCAATGATCTTGGCATTTGAGTGATATGTTGCCTTTTTCCATCAGCCATCATGACCAACAACTAATGTCACAAGGCAGGGACTGCTTTCACATCCCGCCATTTCACATGTGTATCTCTTGTATTGAAATTTCAGCGCAAGTGACAGTGGCGCTTTAAGGCAATACCAGTTGGCAACTAAACTGAAATGGAGCCCTAAAGTTTTGCTTGATGAGTTTATTTTTAAATTTTATTTGTTTTGTTTCCCATACACATATGCACTGTACAAACATGCTAATGCTGCAAACTATTTTCAGGGCCCCTTCTAGTTTCCAGTCTGCACTTGGCCAAGATAATTTAAGGGCTCAGTTGTTCACTATATGAAGACTGCAAAGTCTGCAGTTTCTACTCATTTATTTTATCATTAAATATTTTATGATCTACGTATTTCCCTTAAAATAGAGGTAATTACATTTTACTATATTGTAGCATAGCCTGAAAGAGTCTGTGGTGAGGCAGATGATATGAAACACTGTAGTGGTACCAAGTTAAAACAACAAAATGTCATGTGTTGCATGTGTACACATAAGAGAACAAATTGTATTGGCCTGCTAAAATAACATGGCTGGAAGGAAATGAGTAGCTATTTACTTTTTGGCCCTTGGAATCTCTTGCTTTTTCAGTCATTAAAAAATAAATAAAGGAAAAACAAGTTGAGGTTTTTTTAGTTTCCTCCAATGGCCATGAGATGTTAAGCCCACCTGCCAACATCAAGGCAGACCCCCTCCCCCTCAGGTGGGTCCTAACTCTAACCATTCACCTTGCTTCCTTGAGCTTCTGGCAAAGATCTCTGAGACAGAAAGGGGTATCTTTTTTATATACACCCCTATATATTATTAACCCTTAATAGGGAACACATGGGATGGGCGCTTGCATTGTAACAAGGCTGAGTGATACAAAAAATAAATGTGATTATCTTACAAATTACACTGTTTTAATGTTCTAATTTTAACAACATGTATCAACAAAAGCAGTCACCACCCATGGAACCACAAAATACTTTTAAGCAGAGGAGATACTAAATCACTTGGATTTATTACTGAATGGATTCTATTACATAAATATTAAAACACACGTAGTGTTGTGTTAATGAGCCCACAGCACAGCTGAGAGATAAACCCTTGAAACTAAGTAATTTTTCTGCACACAGAGAATCCTCTTAAGTCAATATCTCAATTCTAATGCACGACTATTAAAAACCCATATAACACAGCTCTGTATTCCACATACATTACTTCAATGCATAGTATAAATTTGTAAAATGTATTGCTTAACTAGTCAGCTGCCAAAGAGACACTAAACATTGTTACCAATGACTGTAGAAAGTCTGTGTGTTGGCTCACTATCACTTGTTGGAGGATTGTGTATGTGAGAGAGAGATAAGAACATGGTAAAAGAATAACATGCACGTAAGCTATGCATGTTCTGTCTAAGAAGAGAATTTTGGGGGCTCTGTGTATGGGTCTTAGGAATTACCAAGGAGGACACTTTGTTCTATGGGGGGAAATTGGTTGAATAGTGAAAAGGACAAACCGGGTTGGTAGGGAGAAATCAGTAGGATAGAGTTTGGTAGATTATGTCTAACCTTGTGAACATGTAACGAAATAAAGAAATCTACATTGAAGAAAAACTATTTTAATTTTTTTTTTTTTTTTTTGTCCCCAGCTTTCTGATTTGGCATCATGATTCCTGTTGCTGAGTTTAAGCAGTTTACAGAGCAGCAACCTGCCTTTAAAGTCCTTAAACCCTGGTGGGATGTCTTGGCTGAATATATCACCATTGCCATGCTCATGATTGGGGTCTTTGGCTGCACCTTACAGGTAAGAAAACCTATCTCTCCCTGTACCTAATGTTTCATATTTTTAAGTGTGATTTTCTCCCAAATGTGTCAGTGTTCTAGTGTGTCATTCAACTAACTAGTGAAGTCCCTACCTACTAAAAAAGTGTCAAGATGTAAGGAAGAAATTGCACAATCTAGGTTATTGCGACATATAGATAAAATACTACTTATTCATAGTGGTTACGGCATGGCATACAATTGCCATAACACCTGTTACAGTGAATGATTACTCTCATTGCCAATCCTGCAACCTGCAGCAATCTTCAATTAAGGGTCTATTGTTAGATCCTGGAGCATCAAAAGACAATTCTGTGTCACTGTTGTTCTCTTGCACATACACAAAAGTACATCCAAGTTCTGTAGACAAGAAATCAGGATCCACCATAGAGCTTACTCATGCAATGAGCAAAAAGAAGCCTTGTTCTTGATCAGTGCCTAGAGAACACTTGGACTTGATAAAAGTTGATGGACAAAGCTCTGTCTTTTGACAATCTGAGCTTGATCCATAAGTAAAAATATAACCTCTGCCCAGTCTGCTTCCTAGCTGCTTACCCTAGAACGATTCGGACCTTAGTCGCCGAGGCTTGACTGGGTTCTCTCTGGAGTCTTTTCACCTGACCTGGCTGCAGCTCTCCTTTCAGGCAGGTATTGTTCCCTCTTCTTATTCTGCTGCAGCCCTTCTTCCAGGCAGGTACCCACCTCTGCCTGCAATGTGATTCCTATTGCCATTACAAAGGTACTTGTGGCTCTCAAGCCTGGCTCTCTTGATTTAGCCCAGGACTAGAGGGATCGTGCAGAAAGCCAAAAGGCCCAAAGACTGTCACTGGGATCCCTACAAATCCACACACACAAGTTCTAAAAGGAACTAACATCCAGTACTTACTTTGGACTAGCCAATATGTTCATTACATAAACCTTGCTGTGACAAACTCTATAAAATACAATTAACCAAATCAAAAAACATACAGGAACTTAGTGACATGACAATTATAAAGGTATGGGGAAGACAATAACTAACACAATATGCAATTCTACCTAAATATGCAAATTAGCACGCCTTGCTATTCAGGTAATGCATATAGCAACAGGCGGCACTGTACAGGCTCCACAGCCATATCCACCAAGTTGATTGTAAGCATTAGCAAGGCAGGATCACACACAAACATTTAACCCCAATCAACCACATTACACACACACACCGTGCACCTGCAATGGACACAGGGTGACTTAAACATAGGAATCATCCAAAGACCTAATTTAATTGTCCATCTTAAACTCCTAGTGATGGTGACTACTGTCGCAATCCCCTACTTTGTCTTATATCTTTTTGATTGAAATATAACTTTATGAAATAGTGACAGACAGAATTCTTCATTTTGTTTTATGTAATGCATTAATAGTTTTCACTTTTCTCATTACTTAATATATCTTGTTTGGCACTCCCTACTTTCATGTGTTGTATAATAGTATGTGCCTAAGTCACTTTCTGAATGTAATTATTTTTTTTGTGTGTGCATCTTTCACAGATAACACAAGACAAGATTATTTGCCTCCCTAATCATACTTCAGCTGATGAGGTTTCCCAAATCTCCTGCAAAGAGTTTACTCAAAGTACTCCACCCACCAATTCTAGTGATGATGAATTCCCAACTTCAACACCACCTCCAGTTGTTACTTCTGGTTCTACCCGTGAGATGACTGGCCTGCGTAACAATCTGGATCTTCAGCAGTACAGCTTCATCAACCAGATGTGCTATGAGACTGCATTGCACTGGTATGCAAAATATTTTCCATATCTAGTTGTTATCCACACACTTATCTTCATAATCTGTGGAAACTTCTGGTTTAAATTTCCTGGCACAAGCTCTAAGATTGAACACTTTATTTCCATTTTGGGTAAGTGTTTTGATTCCCCATGGACAACTAGAGCTTTATCTGAAGTGTCAGGAGAGTCCAATCAAGAGAAGACAGCAGATCGTGAACTTTCCAAGCCCAGTTTTGAGGAAAATAGTCCTTCCTCCACTGAGCTTCCAGTTCCTGATAAATTGGTGGCAGAGACTGCATCGGCTAGTGTACTAGACAAGAAAGAAGGAGAGCAAGCAAAAGCACTGTTTGAAAAGGTGAAGAAATTTCGTCATCATGTGGAAGAAGGGGACATATTGTATTTAATGTACATGAGACAGACTGTGTTAAAAGTCTGCAAATTTGTGCTCATCACCATATACAATGCAGCTTTGGTAGGGCAAATACACTTTATTGTACCCTGTAGTGTCCACACAGAGGACATGACCGGCTACAACAGCTTCTGCTGCAACCACACTAAAGCTCATCTCTTTTCAAAACTGGCTTTTAGCTATTTGTGCTTTTTGGGAGTCTATGGACTGACTTGCCTTTACACACTATACTGGCTATTCAGGCGCCCACTGAAGGAGTATTCTTTCCGGTCAGTGAGAGAAGAAACTGGAATAAGTGACATTCCTGATGTCAAGAATGACTTTGCTTTTGTTCTTCATCTTATAGATCAATATGACTCTCTCTACTCCAAAAGGTTTGCAGTGTTTTTATCAGAGGTGAGTGAGAGTAGGCTGAGACAACTTAATTTGAACCATGAATGGCCAGCAGAGAAGCTGAGGCAAAAACTTCAGCACACACCTGAAGGCCGGTTGGAGCTACATCTTTTCAAGCTACCAGGTTTGCCCGATTCAGTCTTTGAGGTGACTGAAACAGAATCCCTTAAGTTGGAGATGCTTAGCGAGGCACTCATCCCTCCTCTAGTAACCAAATTAGTCCGACTTGAAGAATTATCCCTTTTCAATTGCCCAGCAAAAATACAGCATGCTTCCCTTGCGTACCTCAGGGACCGCCTTAGAGTCCTTCAAATTAAGTTTGAGGACATTAAGGAGATACCACTCTGGGTCTTCAGTCTTCGAGCCCTAGAGGAGCTACACCTGTTTGGCTACCTATCCCAGGACATGTCAAAAAATGTAACACTGGAAAGCCTGCGAGAGTTAAAAAGTCTTAAGGTGTTAACACTCAAAAGCAATCTCTCTAAAGTGCCTCCCACTGTCACAGATGTGGCTGGCCATCTGCAGAAACTTATAATACACAATGATGGAACAAAGCTTTTAACTCTCAATGCTCTGAAAAGACTGTCTCTACTCAAAGACCTAGAGTTGATCCGTTGTGATCTAGAAAGAATTCCTCATGCAGTTTTCAGTCTGAACAACCTACAACTCCTGGATTTAAAGGAGAATAACCTGCACACCATAGAGGAAATTATAAGTTTGCAGCACTGCCGCAAACTAAGTGTTCTACGTCTGTGGCACAATCAAATAGCCTACATTCCAGATCACATCCGGAAACTCAAGAGTTTAGAAGAGCTGTCTTTCAATCGCAACAAGATTCTTGTATTGCCACCTCAACTTTTCCTATGTACCAAGCTCCGTCATCTTGACCTGTCCTTCAATGAGATTAGAGAGCTTCCCCCAGAGGTTGGGGTTTTACAGCTGCTTCAGTTTCTCTCATTGACTGGTAACTTTTTAGAAGAACTTCCCAACGAGCTGTTCTTCTGTCAGAAGTTAAAAACTCTTAAGCTGGGACAGAATAGGTTGGCAAGTTTATCCACAAAGATTGGATCTCTGACCGCTCTGGTAAAGCTTGAGTTAAAGGGAAACAAGATAGATTTCCTGCCCCCAGAGATAGGTGGATGTGTTAGCCTGAAAAAGTCTGGCTTAGTGGTAGAACAGTTGTTAATTGACACACTCCCAAGTGATGTCAGAGAGAAACTGAGTGAGGACTAAAGATGCAGATGAAACAGAGTATGGTGATAAGCTTTAATAGTCTAAAAGCAAGGGGTATAACAAAAAGGCAGTTTGAGAACAGAAGTGAGAGCAGGTAGAAATTTGAAACCATAAAAAAATAAATTTTGACAACTAAACAGTGACCTTTGTCATTATAAGAAAAGTGTAATTTTAGAGCGGAACATAGAAAAAAAAAGTTAACATTAGAGAATAGCACAAACTGCTCCCACTGGGACGTCTAAAGATTGATAAGCAGGATCATTACTCTTAGTAGTTGGGCTAAGTGTGTGCTCACTAGACTGCCTTCTAAATTAGAGCCAAAGCACCTAAATTATGAATGAGATTTTATTCCTCCAAAAGGGGGCTGTGCAACGTTCCAACTTCATTGCAGGTTTAAGTGTGTCCACGACCACTTTGGTAGAATGAAATGTCCATGTATAATTATGGTGCTGCAGCTCTTTTGTGTTTGGGAATTCTGTTATTCACACCCCAGTTTTTGACCCATTAGGAGAGAGCAGTAGATGCTAGTGACTTTTAGATTAGCTATTTTATTAATTGCCTAGAAAAAACATCTAGAAGAAGCACATAAATGTTTCTCTTGTATGGACTTGCCCCTTTACTAAGGTCTTCTAAGTGAACATACATTTAAAAAAATTAAATACTGCAAATATGCCTTCAAGGCAGGTGTAAGACTTGCCACATCTCAAGAAACTGGAACACTCCTAAAAATGAAATTACTTTGGACAAAACCGGTTTTATTTTTTTGGAGGGCTAGGTGCAGCATTGGGTAAATGGCACCTAACCTGATTTATCCACTACTTGGGTTACTTAAACAGCCACAACAGCATTGGGTCAATGTACACTTTTATTTTTTATTTAAATTATTTGATGAAATAATAAAACCTTTTATAAAATGCATGCATGTGGTTGTCAGTGAGTGTGAGGAGTGGGTGCTGCTTCACTTAAATGTTAAAATGCTTCAATGTTCAAGACACCAGCCAGGGTATTGGCAAAGAATGATGTGCAGCCAGATTAAATCAATGCTTGATATGCAAGGGATATAAAGGCACATACAAGATAATTATTTTAAAAGCACAATATTATGTGTTAACAGCTTATTGATCAAAGGACAGCTCTGTCATTTTGGGGTCAAGCACTTCTGTTTGTAGATTGTTGCAAAATTGGGAAGCGTTTAAATTATTTTTTCCTCCTTTTGGATCAACAACAGAAATGTAAGACTTAACTTAAAGGGACACTATAGTCACAAAAACCACTTTAGCTTAATGAAGCAGTTACGGTGTTCAGATAATGCCTCTGAAGTTTCGCTGCTCGATTCTCTGCCATTTAGGTGTTAAATCACGTTTGTTTCTGTTTATGCAGCCCTAGCCACACCTCCCCTGGCTGTTACTGACAGCCTGTATGGAAGAAAAATGGTTTCACTTTTAATCAGTTGTAACATTTTTTATCTATTTCCAGCTCTCTAAGTTGAGCTGTAAACACACACAGGAGGCTCCTGCAGAGTCTAGCAAGCTATTAAGAAGTGTTAAATTAAACAGAATTTGCAATAAAGTATGTATATGTCATGGTACCTGATCGGCACCCTAAGAGTGAGCGCACCTGATCGGTACTTATCTGCAGTGTAATAACGCCGCCCACAATGACGTCACTAGTGATGTGAACGTGCGTGCGGCGTCTCGTTTTTGCCATGCATGCACGTTCTGGGGTCATGGGACCCAAATTAGCAAATGGTAGGATTTACTGGGTTATTTAAACTCAAACCTGCAGTTGTTCAGTGTCCTGTCGTGGTTTCCATCCTGTTGGTTACCCGAGAGCGTTACTGATTCTGATTATTGATTTTTGATCTTGGCTTGACTTCCCATATTTCTGGTATCCCTGACCCGTTGGCTTTGTTCTTTACGTATTTGTTCCTTTCTGTATTCCTGACCTCGGCTCGTGACTGTTTATTCTATTACGTTAATTCCAGCCATTCTAAGGCCCGGTAATACGTTGTTTTGTTACTGTTTGAATTTCTTACGCGTTTTACTTAATTCTGCATGTTGGGCCACTGGTTCGTCCTGACATTACGACAGGGCCATGGACCCTGCAGAGTTAAGTCAATACATGTTAGCTTGCGAAAGAAGGCTGGAAGATGATCACCTCCAACTGGAGGATCAACAAGCTTACCTCCATTGGAGGATCAACAAGCTCCTACAGCCCCTCCTTGTCACGTATTCATCCGCTTATAGAAAAGTGGTTAATGACAATTACTGTCCACACAGGAAAAGTTGTGCCGAGCAGCAACCTAATCCACAGAAGGGTTAATGCTGAGCAGCAATTATGCAAATGAAACCTGGTAACTGACTTTGGGGTCAAAGGCCGGTTACAGCCTATCAGAACTAAAGGAGGGGTATTTAGACCCAGTTCTCAGCCTGCTCAGTGCCCTGTCGTGGTTTCCCTTGTGGTTGTCTGAGATCGCGTTCCTGTTTATAGTTTTCTACCTGGTTTTTGACTTTGGCTTTGTTTATTGACTTCTCTATATTCTGGTATCCTGACTCCTGGCTTTCCTCATCGCTGTGTCCCTTTCTGTGTTCCCTGACCTCGGCTAGTATTTTTGACTATTCTTTGTACGTTAAATCCGGCCATTCTAAGGACCGGTAATACGTTACTTATTTGTCATCCGTGCTGTACAGTTCTACGTGCTGGATCAAACCGTAATCCTGACACTCCTGTTGCTGTTGTACCCATAGTATACAAGGCTCCATCTATATCCTTCTCATCACTCCCTCATTTTGGTGTTTTTTTTTTTTTTTAAACAAATTGAGTACCACTTTGAGGACTCCTCCGGCTCCTTTCCCTCCGATAGATCAAAGATTGGTTAGCTGATGAATCAATTGATAGGAAAGGCTTTAACCTGGGCAAATCCTTTATGGGAGAGCAACAAGTCTCACATAGGAATATGCGGAATTTCTAGGTGAGATCAAACTAACATTTTGAATCATTAGGTAAAAAAATGCGGAAAAAGCCCTCATGCGCATAAGGGCTTTATCTAATTATGCAACGGAGTTCTGTACCCTCACCTCAGCGATGGATTGGACAAACCATGTCCTCGTCACCGCTTTCACTGAAGGCCTGTCCGATACCATTCTAGATAAGGTTGCTGCCAGAGACTTGCCAGAAACACTTAAGTATATAACTGAAATGATGAAAGGGAAAGGATCATAAACAAACCAAGAAGAAATAGCACTTTTCTTGCTCCTCGTTTCTCCGACCCTGTTCTTCCCAAACCCCCTATTGTAGCTGCTGAAGCTGAACCTATTCAGTTGGGAATTATGAGGTTATCTGAAGCAGAGAGACTATTCAGAAGGAGTGAGGGTCTGTGTATGTATTGTGGCAGGAAGGGACATATGAGGGTAAATTTGCTCGATTCGTCTGGAAAACTCTCGCACCTAAGTATCATTTGGGGACCGGCCTTAGGTGTTATGTATATGTTCCCCACTATGCCTCTTTCAAGACTTTCTGTTACCATTCTGTTACACAACCTTGAGGTCAATTGCAAAGCTCTGTTAGACTCAGGAGCAGCAGAAAGCTTTATTGATGCTAACTTTGTGTTCACACACAATACCTCTAAGGGGGAGAGCTCAACACCTTTGGCCGTTGAGGCCAAAGATGGGTAATGAGCAGATTCCTAAGAGGTCTGCCATGAGACCTTACCTGTTTCATTGCAAGTAGGGGCCTTGCATAAGGAACCAATCACTTTTTAGGTTATCTCCTCACCCTCTTGTCCCATTGTACTTTGTTTTCATGGCTAATCCAACATGATCCACCTATAGATTGGAGGAAAGGGGAGATACTAAAGTGGAATGTTGTAACAGATATTTAAAATCTATAACAAAAGAATTGGGTACATACCCTGTCTTTCCTGGAAAGTAAAATCATGGAGAGATATATATATATATATATATATATATATATAATATACACACACACACACACACAAAAAATTCTTGCTCGGGTACCAGATCTCAAAAGGGTTTTACCCATACGTGATATAAGCAACTCAAGGATAGGTAATTACAATTATTAAAAACCGTTACTAGATATAGGCACTTAATGCTAATATGTGATCAAAGAAAAAAAGGGAAGTCTAAGGAGCCTGCCTAATAAGTGCTAGGTCTAGGTGCTTCAATCAATATCCAGGATATGAAGCAGCTGCTCATGTATTTATGCAGATGTGTACAGTTGGGTGGGTGTGTGTATGTATGTGTATATATACACACTTAATAAGAGCAGATATGGATCATCCTTGATCAGGGTATACATAAAAAGAGGCACATCTAGCATATGGTTAAGTATTTAAATACCACAGAGGACATCTTAAGATATTCGTGTGACCAAGTAACCCCTGCAGGTTTTAAGGGGACATATCTGGGTAATATTTAGCTCAAAATAGTTACCATAAAAATAATAATAAATAAAGGTATTGAGTGTATTAACATTGTAGAGAGTCTAGTACATGATTAAAGGACCACTCTAGGCACCCAGACCACTTCAGCTTAATGAAGTGGACTGGGTGCCAGGTCCTTCTAGGGTTAACCCATTTTTTTTATAAACATAGCACTTTCAGAGAAACTGCTATGTTTATTAATGGGTTAAGCCTTCCCCCAAAGCCTCTAGTGGCTGTCTCATTGACAGCCACTAGAGGCGCTTGCGTCGTTCTCACTGTGATTTTCACAGTGAGAGCACGCCAGCGTCCATAGGAAAGCATTGTAATTGCTTTCCTATGCGACCGGCTGAATGCACGCGCAGCTCTTGCCGCGCGTGCGCGTTCAGCCGACTGGGCGGAACGGAGGAGGAGAGCTCCCCGCCCAGCGCTGGAAAAAAGTAAGTTTAAACCCCTTTCGGCCTTCCAGAGCCGGGCGGGAGGGGAACCCTGAGGGTGGGGGCACCCTCAGGGCACTATAGTGCCAGGAAAACGAGTATGTTTTCCTGGCACTATAGTGTCCTTTAAAGGTAGCAAAAGTATGTGGCAGGCTAAGAACAGGGTGTAAAGATAATGCATTGGGTTCAATCCAAACTTATTTGACATGGGGGTCGGAAAAGTATTGATTTATTTTTACTCAGAATAAAATTTGTATTTTTCACGAACCATGTGCTGTCTATGTTTTTGTTGTTTTGTTTTTATAATCGGTATTTTCTCCCAACAGAGTATGACAACATATGTTGGGAGGGGATATATACCCCCTCATAGTTCTTCATGCCATTTATACCATTCAATAAAAGCCTGCTTATTATGGTGTAACTGAGCATACGCATAAAGCATAATGTTAAACGTATCCGTATTGCAAGGGTTAATAGAGAAACTTCATGCGCCAATATACATTTAACATATAGGACTCTAAAGTCCCATAGAAAGAATACCTTAGTAAGTTCAACTTTACCACTAAAAGTTAGATATAAGATAGACAGTTCTATGTACAAGAGGCCGATGAATATTTACATATATACAAAGTCTGAGGGAGCTACCCAAGGAACGGAGAGAAGGAGAATCCTTTAAGTCCTTTTAGGGTTCAGTGTTGTTAGTTGGTATATCCAGAAGCATTCTCTCTGCCTCAGGAATCTATCGTAGTCCTCTCTTCTCACGCTTTTCTTAACCAATTCCAACGCACAGAAGCGTAGACCCTTAGTCACCACCGTGATATTCACAGAGGTGTCTTGAGATTGGGTTGTCCACTTGGTTCTTGGGGGATCTAATGTGCTCCTGAATGCGTTTCTTGAAGCGACAAACTGTTTTACTGACATATTTAAGATTACATTGGCAGGTCAATAGATAAACTAGACCCGCCGTGTTGCAGTTAAAGAAAGAAGCTATTTTTAAATTCCTCCTTGTCGTTTTTTTTTTTGTCCCTCACTTTCTTGG